CAAGTTGTTAGTTTTTTAGTTTTTTTTTTTTTTTTTTACATTATGTTCATAACAGAAATGGCTTTGTACAGATGTGGACTGTAGACAGGATGCAGCTGTGACTGGCAGAACTGGAGGCCCCCTTGCTTTCTTTTGCAATGTGAAGCTTGGCTCACTTCTTCTGGCTTGAGTCACTGGTTACGCCTACATATTAGTATTGTTGAGGCTTTACTCTGGAAGTGGAATTAAAATGGAGGTTCTACACAGCAGAGTGCTATGTTATCTGGCAGCGTGCTATGCCTTATTGTTGTCCTTAAATGTGAAAGCGGCTCAGATTTCAGCAGTTTTATCATCTATAATCTTACAACTTAATTATTCTGACGATCTTAATTATTGGTTTCATCCAGTTGAATTTACCATAAAAATAAAAGGAATTCTTAGAGGAAACCAGTAATTATAAAAGGTTTCAGCATATCTTGCAGGAAAAAAAAAGTAACACTGAAGAAACGTAAGGAAGGTATTCAAGGAGCAAGAGGTAAGCATCATGAAACTATTCAACTTTGGCCACGAGAAAGCATAAACATAGAAGATTTTCATTAAAAGTACACTAGCATTCTCCAAAATCCCACATAAAATACATTTTTTAAAACTGAAGAACATGGAAAACATTTGTATTATCTTTACATCATAATACTGATATCTCAATAGAAAAGAAAGATTTCAAATGATTGCTGTTTTGGGGCATATAGTATACTTAGTGTGCTTCTTTTACATATCAATTATCTGTGTAATATGAATTCAACAATGGGTTTCAGTCCACTACTTTGCACCTATGAACTTAGCATTTATCCTTCACTGATATCAATCTTAAATTTCAGTCTTTCCGTGTAGCTACAAAGGGAGGTAATAAATTATTGGCAGTCCATTAATCTTTCTGGATGGCACAACTGTGCGAAATTGGAATAACTCGTGCGGTACTCAGCAATTTAACAGAATGGTATCAAAAAGCCTGAGTTGATTAGCAAAAGTTTAGAACCAGTTGGCTACCAGCAGCTTTGCAACAACAAATAATGAGTGAGATTTCTGATGACTGTTAGGTATAAGATATTCAGTATTTGAATGTTTTTGTAACTGCTGTTAAATTATATATCTTATTTACCATACACCAAAATGAGATCAAAAATTCACTCTGAACAATAATAATTAAAGCAATATGTTAAATACATAAAAGGAATATTTTCTAGCTCTGAGTGGATGTATTAGACATTTATACTTTACTGTCACATATAATCTGGAGATTTAGATGGTTGGGATTATGAACAATTAAATGAAGTTCATAACTTACAGCTGTCCAGGCTCCTCTTTTGCATCGACAACACAGCCATCCATCATGGATTTCATGGGAAGGAATACCATAGCAACCTATAATGAAAGAGCAGAGACGATACAACTGATTTTGTACTTTGTTATCTATCTAGCTAAACAGGTAACTGAACCATAAAAAAAAGACAGTAGATTTGTACACTATGTGATTAAAGAAAATGAAGAACAAGCATTTTCTCAAGAATATGCAGCTAGAATATGTATCTTAGCAACAGTTCTCATTCCTAAAAGCAGTCATGTTGTCTTTAAAAATTCTTTGACTATCATGGGTTGCCTATTAATCCAATGTACTTGCCATGTGATAAAATTGCAACTTGAACACAAGAACAATAATGCTTTATAATGAAGGGCCAGGTGTAAAACATTACCACCAAACTATAGACTCATGCGGACAGGACAGCTCAGTTATTCAAATAATCCTCTATTTCCCCAATATAGAATATTTAAACCCATTTTCTGATTTTTCACCAATATTAGGCTCTTTCATTTTCTGATACAGATTATTTCTATGTAATCATACATTTCCTCTAGGAATAATGTTAGATCAGTTATTGTAGTTACCAAAGATTAGCTGAACAATACAAACAAAATGAAAGAGGAAATGTAAGTAGGTTATGATACATACTTGCATGAACCTGTACACAACATTTTGCACAGGATATTAGCACACTTGTTCCATCTTCTTCAATAAAGCCATTGGATGGATAGTTTTCGGTATTCTCCTCACTATAAATAAAACATATCTCTGGAATAAGCGGTTTTGTCTTTTCACTGGACACACATATTTCTTTCTGCTTTGTTTCTGACCAAGCATATATTTCTTCATTAGGTTTATCAGCCTGAAAAATAAATTTAAATAGAAAGATATTTGCTCATTTTTCTTTTGTTTTGATTAGTTTCCTATCATTTATAATAATATTGTGTCCAATGCAATGTGCTTTTTGAAGTTTTGATATTTGTAAAATTAGAAGTTGAAGCAGACTTTGGCACTTACTTTAAATCTTTCTTCTTTCTGTCATTATATTCATTTCTTACTATTCATTTTTATAATTGGTAAAACAGGAAAAGAGCAGGAAGTACTATACTGACACTTAGGGAAGCATCAATCTTCATTCTATGAACTAAAACTGCATCTGCTGTAGCCAGGGAACATTTGATGAAGACCTGGAAATTTTGTCTCATGAGGTGTACAGCAAAATATGTCATCCTTCTATAGTTGCTGAACATGAACTAGATTGGATTCAGATTCAAAACAAAGATCTAAGCTCTGGCCAAGAATGGAGACTAGGCTACTTAACCACCACTTGATGAGAAGTTCAGCCTTTCATAAATTGGAAAACTTTAGGGATGATTAGTACAGCATATGGAGTAAGTGAGAGACAGAGAGAACATGAGTCTTCTGTAGTTCTTTGGAAGTTATGAATTTTTGTAGCAAACAGAATAGAATGGAAATGGCAAGGGAAATGATTTTGTAAGAACAGAGAAATATTACAGAGAAAAGAATATCACAGCTATCAGTGTAGCCAAGCGTATATTTATTTTATTTAGCAATATGGGGAAAACAGCTTATTATCCATGATTACATATCATTAATATATGAACAGCCAAAGCTACAGTAAACGCACTGGAGAAAATACCCTTATATTGAGAGTTAGTCAAAATAATTGCAATGAAAACACTAGAAAACAAGACAATATTTATTTCAGTCTGAAATTCAAAGACAGCTATGTGAAACAGGATTTTTGCAGCAGCTGCCCCAATTGTGGAATGCTGTCCTTAAAAAAAACCTCAGTATCTTCATTATCATGATCACTCTTTTGGCTTTTAAAAATTCTCCTGAGATTTTTCAGATCTTATTATGATTTAACTGTTTTAGCTCCATGATTTGTATATTACCCGTTACTATTGTATTTGTACAGTGGGGCAAAAAAGTATTTAGTCAGCCACCAATTGTGCAAGTTCTCCCACTTAAAAAGATGAGAGAGGCCTGTAATTTTCATCAGAGGAATGTATATTCATTATATAAATTTGAGGATATGAGCCTTTCTACATTGAGGTGAGGAATGTATATTCATTATATAAATTTGAGGATATGAGCCTTTCTACATTGAGGTGAGGAATGTATATTCATTATATAAATTTGAGGATATGAGCCTTTCTACATTGAGGTGAGGAATGTATATTCATTATATAAATTTGAGGATATGAGCCTTTCTACATTGAGGTGAGGAATGTATATTCATTATATAAATTTGAGGATATGAGCCTTTCTACATTGAGGTGAGGAATGTATATTCATTATATAAATTTGAGGATATGAGCCTTTCTACATTGAGGTGAGGAATGTATATTCATTATATAAATTTGAGGATATGAGCCTTTCTACATTGAGGTGAGGAATGTATATTCATTATATAAATTTGAGGATATGAGCCTTTCTACATTGAGGTGAGGAATGTATATTCATTATATAAATTTGAGGATATGAGCCTTTCTACATTGAGGTGAGGAATGTATATTCATTATATAAATTTGAGGATATGAGCCTTTCTACATTGAGGTGAGGAATGTATATTCATTATATAAATTTGAGGATATGAGCCTTTCTACATTGAGGTGAGGAATGTATATTCATTATATAAATTTGAGGATATGAGCCTTTCTACATTGAGGTTGTGATTTTCTGGATTTTTTCCCCCATTTTGTCTCTCATAGTTGAGGTATACCTATGATGAAAATTACAGGCCTCTCTCATCTTTTTAAGTGGGAGAACTTGCACAATTGGTGGCTGACTAAATACTTTTTTGCCCCATTGTATATTACCCATAATTATTGGGCTTTATGCTGGGATTTAGGGTATTATGGATGCTTTATATCTTATTTGATTTTATGATTTATACAATACCTAGAGTATCTATTCTGTAAGGTATCTAATAAATCAAAATACATACATAAATAATACAAGACCATTTCAGCTCTCCACAACAAGCAGGAAAGTACCAGTTGTGTGATGTAAGATGGGAATGGAAAAGTTTAAAAATAATTGTTTATGTTTAAGCAATGTTATCAATAGAATTTTAGAAAAGAAAAGTTTAAATATAAATAGTTTATTAAAAAATTACAAAATGATCTAATCTTTCCCTTTCATACACACATGGGAAGGAGCTTGATATGAGAATCAGCTTTGCATAAAATGAAAGAGTGGATCCAGGATAGGAGGAATGTATATTCATTATATAAATTTGAGGATATGAGCCTTTCTACATTGAGGTATCTCCTAAGGGTGAAATTATACTCTCAGGTTTAGATAATGAGTATATATACCTATTCTCTCTATTTCCTTTGGTCACATCATGCAACTAAGCAACAAAGATTATTGCTGAGAGAAAGGAGTACACTGTTCTCATTTTCTTGCTTTTTTAATGGTAAGTATTATGGTTCCACATACCTCCCTGGAATTAAAGTACTTATTTTGACATGCTGGATGAAGGTGTATTTACCTTTCAAATATTTACATATTATGAATAAAAAGAAATTCTGTAGTTTCACAATAAAATAGCTTTATAAATACTAGAATTTCTGTGTAGCTGTATTTTTATTTTTCAAATAAAAGCTTCCTACCTTGTAGTAAGGTTTGAGGAGTGTGCAAATAGCACAATAGGGTTCCAACTTGGCAACAGCTGCATTGTATTCCTTTTCAGCAGTGAAATTTGGTACTCTGTTCTGCCAAAGATAGACTAGAGGTTTGGCCCAGGATTCTGTTTCTTGTATTTCCTCTTCAATTAAGAGAACCTCAGGCAGTTCTTAAAAGAAAATGACATATGAAATGACTATATTCTGAAGGTAAGAGCAAACAATGAATTAAGTAGAAGTAAAAAAGAAAAAGGATGGCAACTTCATGAAAACAAATGCATAAGAATAGATGCATTCAAGTTTAAGAGGTGGCTTGTACTGCAAAGGTACAGAGAATTCCAAACAATCAACCAGTTCTCTCAACCCCCTATTTATGACAGGTACTCATTCCTGCCAAAATCTATATCAAGTGATATTCTAACATGCCTATCACTGATGCACAGAACAATACGCTATTTTGGAAATAACTCTTATGGTTGTTATTTGACATACTTTAAAGAAAATTATGCATCATAAAACAGAATATGATCCTGGGGTATTAGTTATTAACTAATTTATGATTAGCAGGTTCTCTGCATTGAAGGAATTTAAGGGTGCTCTATATTCTGAAAGACCAATATGGTTACCTGTGACAAGTGTTCTTTGAGTGATCATCTGGACATTCACAAACATGGGTTCTATGCCTGCTCAGAACTTTGTCAGGATCTATAGCTAACATGATTTTCTGGTGGAAAACCCACTGAAACTTGGGGTCACAACCTCCCCTTCTGGAAAAACGGAGACAGTGAGTACTGCTTTTAAAAGCAAACTTATCCATGGCTAGTGTCTCACCCTAACAGAACAACTGAAGAACTAAAAACGTGTGTGAGACAGCTAATGACTCATTACATGGTATGGGACCAGGTTATTTGCAGGACTACCTCTGAGGGTATCTGCTCATGCCACCAGATTACATGGGGTGGGCACACTCCAGGTCCCTTCCTCAAATGTTGCCATATAGCAGGACCTAGGAAGATGCCTTTTCTGTAGCAGCCCTTCCCTGTAGAATACCCTTCTCCTGAGATCTGGCAGGCCTCTACCCTTTGAGCCTTCCAGAAAGCCATAAAGAGCTTGCTCTTCCCCCAGGTGTTGGGATAAGGTGAAGTTGGAGCCTGGGGATTGTACTATTAGATGGGCTGGAGAATTTTGGTTGAGGCATCAGGTTTTGCTTTTACAAATGAGTTTGCAGGAAGGGCAGTATTATTATTGTGAGCCACCCAGAGATATGTTACATAAAATTGGCAGCCATATAAGTTTCATAAATAAATAAATGATATTCCTGAGAAGTTCTAATTAGATACACCCTAGGAAATGCACCCATTCCAGATGCAGATTGTCCAATGCCTTTTGACAGATGGTTGCAATTAGATCCTCAACTGCCTGCAAACCATCAGTAACCACTGAGAGCAAAAGAGGTTGCAAGTGGACAACCCTTAGTTAGGCTCAGAAGATCTGTCTACCAATGATATACTATGTTAGTAATTCAGTTGCTGAGCCTGGAAATACATTTCATGAAGAAAACCCTTAGAAATCAGTTCTGTCATCTTATATGTAAGCAGACAAATGGCACTGTTGAGGAGGAGGCCCCAAATTCTTCATGCCCATCATCATATCATTGCTGTTAGACTGACTGTCTTTTGATATGAAAAGAAAAACCTTGTGAGAATTGAATCTACTTAAGCTCCAATGAAACAGAGAGAATGCAAGGGTAAAAGTAACTATTTTTTCTAGCTAACACACAACTTCATATGTTGTAACTAGTCAAAAGAGTGCAACAAATGTGACTCTCAAATGTATTTGATTGGGACAACCAAGAACCTATTGTCAATATATGGATATGGATTGCTGAGAAACAGAGGTGAACAGCTATACATTTGCTAAGGTTCTTCAGTGCTATTGAGAGATCAGATAGGGGAACTGAGATTGAAAATTGTATCCAATTACAAATTTTAGATACTTTTTGTGATGTAGTCTGATCCTAATTTGGAAATACATATTTCAGTATAATTACTTTTCCGACATATATGAAAACAACAATAATTACAAAACATTTTAATAGTGCTTTTAGTGTGAAACTATACTATATTTACTCTTCAAGCATGCAATTGTTGGGAAAGTTCAAATAAATTTGACTCCTACGTCACTCTTCTTTACTGTGTTCTCAACATAATACAAAACAAGCAAAACTAAATACAATATGCCATCTTTATCTTTGACCTCCACATGGGGTTTAGATAATTTATTTTTTCTTACAAGTACAAATTATTTTATACTGAAAATGAATGCTAAGTTTTTACTGAAAGTGAACTTCATGTAATGTTTTATTTTAAAATACAAATAAACAAAGGTCTAAAAAGCTAAAATAAACACATTACACTGAGTCAGTGTTGACACCATATTGTGGCTAATTACAATGTCATGATAATGAAAATCTTAATGTAAGCCAATGTGTGCTTATCAGTGCAAAATATTATTCTCACATGAAGAATCACTGTGTCATCTTTCTTTAGATTTCAGCATTATTCTTTCCCAATCATAATTATCAGCTTAACCTTCTTCAGAACTCGCACAAAAAATTGTTTTCTCAGAAATGCCACTATGCACCAGGATGCATGGCTGATACTCTATCCTCTTCCTGACCCAAGAAGGAAAAGATTGTAGAATTAGATATCTACAATTTGTTGAAATTATGATTTTGGATTACTAATTTGCATAAGAAACTTTTCAGAGGAATTAATTTATTAGTTTTCCATCTTTGTGTTTTCCAGGCATTGTACCATTAATGTACTTTTAAATATATTTTTATGGAGCCAATACTTCTGAGGCCAAATAATTATTCCTCAGAATATGAATTATGCATCAAGAAACCATAATAGAATCTTATGAAAAAATAATACAATTTTCCAGTTCTCAGGTTATGATGTCTGAATACAGCATGTTTAAAAAATTCCCCAAATTATCTAAAAATTCTTCATCTGTTTGCTAATCTAGATTAATATAATAAAAGAATGTAATCTCAATTTTATAAATTATCTCATCAATATAGATTAGTTCTATTTTAAACTTCTATACCCTAAATTGATGTTTTATTTTCTAAAAAATGAATGCACAAACCTCCAAAGAAAACTATAAAAATGAATATAACCATTCTAATCAAAACAGGGCATATGCACAATTCTTTGTCTCTAACTTTTTCCAGGGTGCCATCTATTATACACGTATTCATTTTACCACCTCAACAAAAAACTAAAAAGGACAAGATTATCCACAATAATATTACTGTAGATATTATTATTATTATAACCAAGGTTCTAACATGCCACAGGCCATATTATATAGATCAGGACAGAAAGTTTTATAACCACACAGAATTGAAATACGGAACCTTTGCTGAGAAATTCTATTTTTAATCAATATAGCCATAAACTAAATATACAACAGAAATTTATTTGGAGAACAGAGGAGAAAGCAATACAGCATTCAGAATAAAATGAAAAAGTCAGTCCTGTTTAACCAACATATTAGTTATTTGAGTAGAGTAACTAATTCAAAGTATATGTGGAAGATAGACTAAGAAAGAAGCCCTTTCACACAAACGTTTCTCAGCACAACCTAGACTAGTTGTAGCAAACTGAAAAGCAAACATTTGGGAGATCATTCGCCTGCATCATCATCACCATCTTAAGAGGTATCTTGCTTTGTTTTGTCTGGACCCATGGTATATCCCAGCAAAAATTAGATCTTGACTGATTCACAACTAAACAATTTGTAAACCCTCTTTTCTACCACCAAAAATGCCCACCTGCGCTAACTAAGCAACATGCAAATATGTGTTGGTAAGTTAGCTATTTATGTCACAGATAAAAAATCAAATAAAACATAGTGTCTTCCTCCCCACTCTATCCTGCTGGGGAAGGTCACGTAACAGTTTGGGGTGCTACTCTGGGCTGAGAGAGATGCTATTATTAAGCTATCCCAGAGCTTGACAGCTATAAGGATCTTGATGGGACAGAACAACCTAGAACCTAAGTAAGATGGGAGTTTCTGTTTGTACATTAGGTTTCTCTGTCAACACCAATTAGCTTTGGATGGGCAAGCATTACCCATGAAGGATCAGGTCTGCAATTTGGGAGTCCTTCACAGCTCCTGCTTGAGTGCAGATAAAGGGTGGCTAGAAGGTTCTTTGTCCAGCTTCCATTGGTGTGTCAATTGCAATTAGTTGGTGTAATAAGATCTAGCTACAGTAACCTATACCCTCATTACAACCAATTAGCTCACTGCAATATGTTATACATGGGGCTATCTTTAAAGACACTGCTTCTTTGTGGCAGTGCTAATGCACTGGAACAGTCTCCTGGTGGAAATCAGGCTAGCCTCCTAATTATTGGTGTTCAGGAAAATGTTAAAAACTGAATTATTTTGGATATTGTTTTAACTGAGTTCATGCACTCTGCCACTGTGCCAATTCTTTTTATTTCTTTTACTTTTTTAGTATTTTATTTTGGTTATATTATGGCTTTGGTTGGAGGTTTATTATTATTAGTAGTATTTTTAATCATACTGTGGATGTTTTAATATTTTTCTATATTACTGTATCACATAAGTCATTGACAGTCATTCCAGTGAGATATAAATATAAGAAAGAAAGAAAGAAAGAAAGAAAGAAAGAAAGAAAGAAAGAAAGAAAGAAAGAAAGAAAGAAAGAAAGAAAGAAATCCATTTATATCTTCTAGCTAACACAGAACAGTTTCACATGTTATGTCAAAATTCAGCTTTGTCATGGCAAGATGCAGTCTGTGGATCTTAGATTCCTTATACTAAAGCAACATATTCAGCTTCTTGAATGAGTTATACTTGCATGCAGAAACAGAACAATTTGCACACCAGATCCTTGAATATATCTGCTAGTTTATTCTTGGACTCTAAATGACTTTTTTCTCTCATTTTGTGAAGTTTTGGTAGAACAGGTTCTATGAGCATGTAAGGCCATCTCAAGTATTCAGCAAGACATGATTAGCTAACAAATTGCGGCATGTTTGAAGACATTTCCTCTTTTTTATTACAAAATGAAATTTCTTCTGATATTTTCTTCATTTACAACTATAAGTTGGCACTTTCTGCAAGTATATAC